TCCACTAAAACCCTAAGGCCACTGCTTAGGCGTTCTCTCCTTCCTCTAACGTCATGCATCCCTCCGGCTTGGTTCTACACTGTTCACGCGGGGGTACCGTTCATCGGCGTTACTGTTCACGCGGTACTGTTCATTGTGTCCGTACAGTTCACTGTTCACTGCGTCCGTACAGATCATTGTTCACCGTGCCCGTACAGATAACTGTTCATGTCGTCCGTACAGGTACTGTTCACGGCTTCACGCATTTTTTTCCGGCCATTCCGAGACAGAACAGCTCGCCTTCCTCTCCTATTTTCAGATATGGTCATCTCTTTTATTTTTTGTGATAGAGGGCTCATGTAATGCGTCCAAAAACACTACTGGCATCATCTCCAGTACTACTCCATCCATTACAATGATGAAACTGACTGGATCTGCTACTTACAAGACCTGGTCTACCTCAGTTATGATCTGGTTTACTGGTCAGGGATATGGAAAAAATCTCACAGCTAAGTCTGCCGATATTTCAAAGGATCAGACATCTGAATGGGAAAAGGTTGATGCTCAACTGTTAAGTATTCTTTGGAAGTCCATTGATCCGACAATTATAGACATTTTCATCCCTATTGAGACCTGCTATCTACACCAATGACATTCAGCAGCTTTATTCCATTGTTTCTCAGTTAATGGAAATGCGCAAATCACCAGAATCTCGAATGGAGACTTATATTGGTAAGATTTGTTCTTTGATGCAAGAATTCTTAGCTATGTTACTTCATGCTGCAGATGCCTCTGCATACAAGAAGCAGGTGGAGTGCTTCTTTATGGTCGTGACCCTCTCCGGTCTTTCAGAAGAGTTACAAAGTGTTCGTGAGAATATTCTAACAAGTGCTGAGACTCCTAGCATGTCACACACTTTCCAACGCATTCTGAATCTTAAGGATAAATCAACAGCTCTCACACATGTGCCAGCTACCGATTCCACTGCATTTTTTTCTTGTACCAATGATTCCAATTGGAACAGTGGACGCGGTCGCAGACGTGGACAGGGTGGCCGCGGACAGAGGCCTCGTTGCAATTATTGCTAGAATCTTGGGCATTTTGAAGAATGTTGTTATAGGAAGTACCCTCATTTGAAGCCACAGACTGCCAACTTTGCTCAAACTGATGCTACACCACCTTTTACTGGATTAGTAACTCTTTCAAGTGCCGACTATAAGGCACTTCTCAACATCCTACTCAAGACACTGGTGATCATGTTGCTTGTCTTTCTCAATCATCTCTTGGACCATAGATAATAGACTCAGGTGCTCCTCATCACCTTTGTGTTAATAAGGATCTCTTCACTTCACTTTCTTATTCTAATAACTTACCCTCTGTCACTCTTGCTGATGGCACTAAGGCTCCTGCTTATGGAATTGGGGAAGTCAACCTAACTCCCTTTTTAACTTTGAACTCTGTTTATTATAAGCCTGACATTCCTTTTAATTTAATCTCTGTTAGCCAGTTAATTCATTCTCTTTCATGTATTGTTACCTTCTCTAAACAATCCTTTTCTATGCAGGATCCGGGTACGGGGAAGATGATTGGAGCGGGCAATGAGTCACGAGGTCTCTACTATCTAATTGCACCACCTTCTCCAGTAGCTTGTTCTCTCATAGAGTCTCCTGAGCTAATTCACAGTCGTCTGGGTCATCCAAGCCTCTCCAAGCTTCAACATATGATTCCTTTTTTATCCAGTCTTAAGTCTTTAAATTGTCAGTCTTGTCAGCAAGGAAAGCACACTCGCTCCTCCTTTGCTAATAGAGTCAATAAAAGAGCTGATGCTCCTTTTTCTATTGTTCATTATGATGTTTGGGGTTCGAGTCAAACAATGTCTGTTTTGGGTTTTCAGTATTTTGTAACCTTTATTGATGATTTCTCTCGTTGTACTTGGGTTTATTTAATAAAAAATCGTTCTAAATTATTTTCAATTTATCAAAAGTTTTGTGCTGAGATAAATACTCAATTTAGTGCTTCTATTCAAATCTTGCGCAGTGATAATGCAAAAGAATATGTGTCTCTTGAATTTTCTAATTTTTTGGAGAAACGTGGGACGTTAGACCAAACCACTTGTCCACACACTCCACTATAAAATGGAGTGGTCGAACGTAAGAATAGACATTTGGTTGAAACTGCTCGTACCCTACTAATTCATATGAATGTTCCATTTTGATTTTGGGCAGATACTATAATCATCTCTTGCTTTCTCATCAATCGCATGCCCTCTTCCGTACTCAATAATGAAGTTCCACATAGTGTTTTATTTCCAGGAGCACCTTCTCATCCCCTACCTCCACATAAATTTGGATGTACCTGCTTTGTTCATGATCTTACTCCAGGAAAAGATAAATTAACATCCAAAGCCTTCAAGTGTATTTTCCTTGGATATACTCGTTTTCAAAAGGGTATCGTTGCTACTTTCCTGATCTCGAGCGTTATATTGTCTCGGCTGATGTCACTTTCCTTGATCAACAACATTTTCATTTTATCCCGTCTCAGATAACACAAGTTGATCAAGTTCTTCATGTTCCTTGTCTTGATTTGTCTTTATCAGTTGCAGGAGACTCTATCCCGGAGGAACGGCCCCTTGCCTCCATCCCTGAGGACCGTCCTTTTCTCACCTATCAGCGTCATCAGACTGTGCCTCCAACGGATTTGACCCTTGCTGACTCACCGCCTACTACTGTCGACTCTTCCCCTCTGAATCCTCCATCAGAGATTACTCTCATTTCCCTTCGCAAAGGTATTCGATCCACTCGTAACCCTCATCCACTTTATAGTTTCTTGAGTTATGATAGACTTTCTTCACCACATTTTACTTTTGTTTCTAGTATTTCGTCTGTTTCTATTTCTAAAACCACAGGTGAAGCACTATCTCATCCGGGTTGGCGTCAGGCAATGATTGATGAAATGCAAGCAATTCACTCCAATGGTACTTGGGATCTTGTTCATGCTCCTCCTGAAAAGTTAGTAGTCGGTTGTCGATGGGTATTCACTGTCAAAGTTGGTCCTGATAGCACTGTTGATCGCCTCAAAGCTCGTTTAGTGGCCAAAGGATACACTCAAACATTTGGTCTTGACTATGGGGATACTTTTTCTCCTGTTGCCAAGATGGCATCTGTTCGCCTATTTCTTGCACTTGCTGCCATTCATCAATGGCCTCTTCTACAGCTTGATATCAAAAATGCTTTCTTACATGGTGACTTGCAAGAGGTAGTATATATGGAGCAACCACCAGGTTTTGTTGCTCAGGGGGAGAATTCTGGAATGGTATGTAAGCTTCGTAAATCCTTATATGGCCTGAAGCAGTCCCCTTGGGCTTGATTTAGTCACTCTAGTTCTGTTGTTCAATCCTTTGGCTTAACCAGAAGTAAAGCCGATCATTCTGTCTTCTATAGACATAGCTCTTCTGGTCAGTGTATCTATCTGCTAGTCTATGTTGATGACATCATTATTATTGGCAGCGATCAAGTTAGGATTGATCAGTTAGAGAAATACTTATTCAATCAGTTTCAGACCAAAAATCTTGGCAGACTTCGATATTTCTTAGGGATCGAAGTGGCACAGTCTAGGCAGGGCATCTCCATTTGTCAGAGGAAGTATGCACTGGATATCCTAGATGAGACTGGTATGTGGGGATGTAAACTATTGATACACCTATGGATCCTAATGTTAAGTTGTTACTCAGACAGGGGGAGTCATTGGTAGACCCTGGACGTTATCGCCAATTAGTTGAAAAGTTGAACTATCTTACTGTGACAAGACCAGACATCTATTTTACAGTTAGTGTGGCAAGTCAATTCATTGACTCTCCTTGTGACTCCCATTGGGATGCATTTATCAGGATTCTTCGATATATCAAAAGAGCATCAGGAAGAGATTTATTATACACAAATAAAGGGAATGCAAACGTATCTAGCTATTCAGATACTGACTGGGCAGGTTCTCCTTCAGACAGATGATCCACCTCGGGGTATTGTGTTCTCCTTGGAGGAAACTTGATCTCTTGGAAGAGTAAGAAGCAAACTGTGGTCGCAAGATCAAGTGCAGAGGCAGAATATCGGGCAATGGGAAATGCAACCTGTGAGCTCATCTAGCTAAAACAATTGCATAAGGAACTACATCTCTGGGAACAGCAGCCCATGAAGCTCATTTGTGACAATCAAGCAGCATTGCATATATCCTCTAACCCAGTCTTTCATGAGATGACCAAACATATAGAAATTGACTGTCACTTTGTTAGAGAGAAGATTCAGTCAGGAGAGATCAAAACAACATTTGTCAATTCCAGTGATCAACTTGCAGATGTTTTCACCAAGGCTCTTAGAGGTCCCCGGTCCCCGAATAGATCATATATGTAACAAGCTGGAAGCTTATGATATATACGTACTAGCTTGAAGGGGAGTGTTAGAAATAATATAATATTAAATAGCATTGTAATTTATTATTCTGTTATTCTAGCAGGTTATTTGGACTTGGTCTATTAGGTCATTTAACCTCTTTAAATAGAGGTCTTTTGTACAGTTCTATACACAATTGAATACAATACATTCGTACATTCTAATTCTTTCCACCATTCTCCCCCTTCCTCAAACTGATTTGTTTCAGCATATCCCAACGTCCTGCCACATGAGTTGTGGTTCCCTCTCCACTGTCAGCATGATTCACATGGGGCCCTACTCCTCTCCAGAGCTTCCTACACTGTAGCTTCCTAAAACATTTAAGAATATAAAATTCAAATTTCTCATTTTTCAGTTACAAGGGCCCTAAGAGCTGGTGAGTGAAAGGGGATCGGAAGGTTGTGAGTACCGAGACTCATGAGAGATCAAACCCAGCACTAAGGGCTTCCTAAGGAAGCTAGTTTTCACTAAGCTACAAAACCATAGCAACTTTTCATTATATTATGCCAACCACAGGAAAACACACCAATGGCTCAAACTTAAAAAACATTATTTCCAGTTAACCAGTTCAGAGCTCACCAATAGCATCAGTCTACTCTCCCCCATTGTGTAGAAGCACTTCAATAAGAGTCCTTTTATGGCATCAACAAGTCCCTTTCTCACCTTTTGTGACGGGTGAATACAAATCTGAAATTCAATATCACATAAAACATTACATTACTTATTAAAATATACACAAAGCATTGAAGTTCTAAACAATTCTGAAGGCTCTAAAAAAACAAGGAAACTAACGTCATTAACAATCCACTAGGAACATACATGTGGAAAAGTTGCACTTAAAAGCTTATTTACACGTGCTGACGTCTTCTGCATCCAATCTTTTGTTCGGTTCACATGCAAAGATAAATTCTCTCTGTCCGGATCAGTCTTCCCAACTTCTTGGAGTAGAGTTTGTGAACAACAGATTATTTCTGACTCGACACTTCTATCTTCAACATCTTTTGTTTTAGCACAATCTTTAAGTGGCAAGTGACGAAGCTCCTCCAAAAGAGAGTGAGCAGATTTACTCTCATTAGAACCAAAGTTTGAAGTCACTTCAATATCCAGGGCAGGTGCATTAGCATCATCCTGAAGGACTATCATAAGAAACTCTGCCAAACCTCTAATTGCTTGGTCAATAGACTCCACACTTCCAGCAGCCCCACTTATCATTGTTTTTGCACCATGCAAAACTTTAGCAAATTGACTAACAATGCCAGGTAAAAAGAAGGCCAATGCATCTGCAGAACCAACCTGAAAAGTAAAACAGCAAAAATCATTTGATTTAATTCCTTTTTTGATAAAAGGATTCATAAATGAAAGAGAAAACTACAGAGGGGACAAAATGTCCACATATAAACAGTCAAAAGATAAGCTAAAGCTAACAAAAAGTATAAATATATATTAGCTCAAAAAAAATCCCCAATCTCTGTTCAAAAAAATAAACCACCACCCCATCCCAAAAAATTAAACACAGAAAAGATCCAATCCAATTATGTGTAAGACTAGCTGGATGAAAATTCTGGCATACAATCAATAATTACACCAAATCCACAAAGAGACATGGCCCTCTTCTCTCTTGCTCTCCCTTTATCTTAAAGCATACTAAAATCACTTTTGAGCAGAGAAAGACAGATGAGTGCTAACCCTTGGATTCCAAAAACACATTCCAAAAGTGTCCAGAAATAAAGTGGTAGTGGCCTTGGCCCAATATAGCAGGCCTTCAATTTTAATTATATTTCATAAGTGATATTCGGTAATCATTCCACTAGCATAAAACATAGTTGTTAGAATCTTACGTTCACAATTTGAATCTTATGATTCAATACAATTTAGCAAGCCAACGATTCATATCATGTGATGAATTGAAGATGGCCTTGAATTGTGTAATATATGGACAAATCATTACGATTCCATATCACCGATACAAATAGTACGACTCAATGATTCATTAACTTTTTTCCTTTTGCTTTGCTTTAATCATTTTTCAGATCGCTATTGAATGCCCCCTATTTGACTATTCCATTGACCTATTTTCATTCTTTAGAAACAGGGGATTCACTGATTCACATAGTCACTCACTCACTATAAGCACCCTACTTGCCTATGCAACTTCTCTTTTTCATTCTTTTGAAAATAAAGGCTTCACACAGTCACTTGCTCACTCTATATGTACCTTAGTTAGTTGGTTATATCATTACTCTATTTTCGTTCTTATGAAACATAGGCTTCACGTAGTCATTTTATTATGTGACTCATCTATGACTTATGACTTATAATTTTGTTTTGTAAGAATTATGGTTAAGTTCTTCTGTCAATTTCTAGTTTAAAACTATTACATTGAACATTATACATCATTTATATAATATATCTCAAGCTATTTTTCATTGTGTCTTTGAATCCTACAATTTGATACGATTGACAATTAAAAAATTACTTGGCAATTCACGATTTGAATTGTGATTTGATAACTTTGATATAAAACAAACAATGGTCTAGGGCAAGCATTCTCAATTGGACATATTTTGCATACGTCTAGCATAAATTTCATGATGGACCCTACATTTCTATCATGAAAGAACTAGAAAAAAAATCCCACATAAAATCACGTTTCACAATCTCCCAGCAGTTTTAAGAAAATTCAAAATGAAACTCTCTAGTGTAGGGGTTTACTTGTTTAAAAATCAAACAGCCCTCCTAACTTCCAATGGTCTCCCCATATTAGACATAGACTTGTACAACCACCGCTTGCTTCTTAATCAAATTCTTTTTCCTTACAACTAGCTACTCTAAAGGGAACTAGGGTAAGCATCCCCCTCTTCACCAACTATCTCAATCTAGCCTCCTGCTAATCACTTCCTTCAGAAGAATGTTCCACAAATTAAATCACTAGCGAAGGTTTAGTAAACTGTCACTTCTTAGACAACACTCCATCACCAGCTGACTTATCCAAGAAAATTGCCACTGACACAACCTCCATTTCTTCAAATCAAAATTCAAATAAACTTCAACAATTTCAAATTTCAATTTCTCTTTAACAAACTTAACCTCCTGCGATGAATCGAAGGCTGATAGCATTAGCCTGATTATTAAAGAACTAGGAGCGAGAGTAGGAACTGGTATGAACAATATTTAGAGAAGAGGGGGAAAAGAGAGAGAGGGAGACAGAGCCTAGAAGACAGAAGCAAGGGATAAGATCGAAGACGAAAGAGGTAATTATAAAGGTTAGTATCAATGCAGAAGTCAAGAAACTTTGGATACGTTAAAAGCAAGAAAGGTTAGAGGGTACCTTTGATGAAAATACAGAGTTAGAATGCACTTTTGCCTTTTCTGAAATTTATATACAAATTTTTAATAGGACATAAGTTTCATATACAATAAAGAAGAATTATCTGAGCAAAGTGTAAAAATAGCTATGGATGACAAAGCAATTTTTCTTTATAACAATTAGTTCATTTTTACTTTTTTTTCATTTTTTCCTTTTTTTTTGGAGAATGGTACTTAATGGGATTCATATGGATGATATGCTAGTGCTAGCTTGGAAACAGAATAACTTCAGAGGATTGCAAAGATGCAAGAAAGGAAAGGCTTTATGGTGGAATGCTGTTTGTTCATTTATTTGATGCATTTTGTTGGAGTGGAAGGCTCAAATTTTCCAGAGTGCTTTATTATTTTAACTGTTGTAATAAGATAGGAAAGAATTTATATCTTCTCTTTGGCCAATGGCTTCTTTATTGGAACCTCCCTAACAAAATTATGCAGGGAGACCAGAGAGCTTTATACTATGGATGAACTCCCCACCCCCCCCAAAAAAAAAACCCCTTTTAACCATCTTTCCTGAAGAGGATATTTTCCCCTCCTTTCTACTGGTGCATTGACCATTCAGCTCTATAAACATTTCTCTTTCCTTGCAAAATAATAAAGAAATAAATAAATAACTGCTACAGCCTTTTGGAAGAACTTGTTCGTTACATTACCTTAGCAACCAGCACCCGCAGAGTTTTGAAGGCTTCAATTCGAAGTCTTGAAGAACCTCGCTGTCCCCTTGCAGCCTCGGTATCTGCAGCCTTTTCATAAGACGAAGGTAACCATCTTTTGAGAACAAAAGAAAAAAGGAAGAATTTTATTTAGGTCTGTTTCAATAGGAAAGATATCTGTTTTGATTACTTGAAGTTATCTTCTGCTATACAAAATATGATCATGTAGTTAAAATAAATTTTGGTTATAATGTAATTAAGAACCAATATTTAAAAGAAATGAATTATGTACGCATAAAAAAGAACTGAATTGAAATTTCTCCAAGAAAATTCAACAACAAAATCAACATACTTTAAGAAGAAGCGATAACCAGTGTCCAACAGAAGCTGATGCAGTTTTAGACCGGAGAAATGCAAGTAAACATTCCTCTGGTTCTGAATCATACTTGAAAGTTTTATGAGTAAGTCTATCATTATAAATGTTATCCGAAAGTGCAGGCAAACCAGGAATTTGTTTGCATGAGCAAGACACATCAGAACAGGAATATAAACTCAAAAGAAGTGCCCTGAAACACAATAAAATTCCTTCACGAAACTCCTCTGAAGCTTCAGATGGCGACAGTAAAGCCCCATATGTTAACTTCTTTAGTAGCACAACCATCTGTTAAGAAACATTAAAGTTCAGTTTCATTTATTTTTGTCTTGGACAAAAATAACAAGACAATACAGTTTAAACAGAAGTTCACAGCTAATGAGGGGAACATAAACTATAGCAGTCAAAATAAAACCATGGTATATAAAAGTTATCATGGCATTAGCATTTTACTTTGACACATAGTTATCAAATGCGGATTGCGGCATGACGCGGCCAACCCTGAAAAATGCTATAGCGTTATAGCGGGTTGCGGTTGCGGAAATAGCGGAATAGATATATGACAGAAATAATGACAAAAAGAAACATTTTTTAAAGGCAGAGATAGTAGAAGTGACATAGAGAGACGCGGATAGACTAAAAAACCCTTAAATTTTTTCGGTTACACATTTAAATTTAGGACAAAATTGATATTTTTCCTTATGACAGCAATATGACCGTAAATGCGATCGCAATGGCTACTATTGCGTTCCGGTGTGGCGCGACGCGGTTTCTTGCGGCGAGACACCGCAACGCCCATACGACGCAGCTCGCGGCGCTATTGCCGCACAATTAACTTCTATGCTTTGACATACAAAAAACAGCATGTGAAATAATAGCAAAATAAAAACAAACCTCAACAAAGCACTGTTCCAAGTCCCCATTTATCAAAAACTAAATGGCTATGGTACTTCCCTCTAGACATTTCACTGTGACACCAAATTATTGAGGATAGGTACGTTTAGATCACTGTTTGCAAAGCAGTATATAATTCTATTACATCAAAAAGCATTTATAATGGATGAGCTAAACAAACCATGAGCGGAAACCAAAGGGAGGCAAAATGAACATGAGCTAACCATGTATAATTGCATCAAATAATATTCCACAAGACATCTTCAATTGTTACACTAGAAAATATTTAGAGGGCAGTCCTATATCTTCTATTTTGGCCCTTATTGCTGTAGTATAATGTGACAGTCAGTGATTCAGGTTCAATTGTTAAAATAAAACAACTTCGAGAAATTTTTTGTTTTTGTGCATTCAGGCCAGTACCCCCAATTCCACATATCCCTAGATTCATTTTGTATTTTATTTTTTTTCTTTTGTTCCTCTTTTCCAAATGTTAAAAGCAGTATAGTTCTCATTACACATCCAATGCACTAAACTATGCAGGTTATAATGTATTCAATTACATAACAAGAAGCAAGTAAATAAAATCCCAGAGTAATATTTCATAGTTTCTATAAAATCCAGACCAAATGTCAAAGGCAAATCAATCGACCCACCTGATCCACAGAATTCAAATGACACTTCGTCAGAAGTTCCTCCAAACAATTAACTACACCTTCAGCAACCCTATCACTCACTTTAAAAGGTGTTTTTGGAACATCAGACACAGTATCAACTTTCTGCATACATCTGCATTGAATTGCTGCATCGAGGAGCAGAAGTAATGGGAACAAAGTATAGCTGAAACAAAAATAAATAAATTACATCACACTGTGAAGGTAAAGTAGACATCAAACACAACAAAATTCAAAATTCAAAATTCAAGTACATCTGCATACATATATGCGTGTGTGCGGTTATAGTTTCTTTTCTTTTCATTCAAGTTACTTTGGACATGTAGATTATATCTATTAAAAGGATTAGGATTTGTTAAGAATTAGGGCTTTTATGCGTGTTTATAGAAAATGACAATTTAGATTCTATTTAGCGAAGAAATAGATAGATAAAGAGCTTACTCGAAGAAAGGTTGTAAAGTAGAAGGCGAAGAATTCTGAAGGAAACGAAGGAGTTCAGGGATAACAGTGACAGAAGAATGATTCTGATTCTGAACCTGAGGGTTTCGCAAAAGGTCCAGAAGTTGCAACGAGTATGATTTCAAGTGTTGAAAGGTAGTGCTTCTGAGTTGCTCTTCTTCCATATTGTCTTCCATTCCTAATAATCAACCCTAGATTCCAATGCTATTCTTTTCAGTTTCGATGATAAAGAAAATTGAGTTCAATAGTAGCGAACATGTTTGGGTGTTTTTTCACTGAAATGAATCGTGATCATGCGTTCACTCTGCAGCAACTCTTGAGTAGCTTGAAACGCGTAATTCTCAGAGAGCTTCAACTCACTGCAACTTGAAGCAAAGTTGTCTACTACGGTGAAACGCCACTCTCACCGGCGCTGCAATACGTCGTCGTCCACGTATTCGACGAAATTACGCAAAAACAGAAGAAAAATGAAAAAGAGGTGAGAAAGAAGGGTACGGATTGCGTCTCATGATTCGGGGAATTGACATATTACTTTCTCTTTAGCCTTTTCTAGAAATACGGGTGAAAATGTGTTCATACGAATAGTCTAGAGTTCATTATTTGACTTAGGTAAAAAAAAAAAAAAAAAAATGGGGAAAAATATTGTAATAATTAATTACTATTACTATTAATGTTATTACCAATCAATTTTACCGTTAGATCGATTATATTGATCCAATGATTATATTTATTTTCATCTTTATATGATTATGATTCTCTATATTTAATACTTTATATTTATTTCTACCTTTGTATGGTTATGATTTCTCATAACCATACAAAGATAGAAGTAAATATAACTGTTGGATCAACGTAATCGATCTAATACTGAAATTGATTGGTAGTAACACTAATTGGTTGTTATAATATCCTATAAAAAAGATTAAAAATTTAGTTTGTTAAGAAATTTAATTTTAGGTCATTTGAAAAAATTTATCGACTTATTGGCTCAACTTATTTACGTTGATATAAATAATATATTATTATTATATTTAATATTATTGTAACATTTTAAAATCATGTTATTTTAATTTTTACCGTGAGGATATAGGCCACAATCATGTCTTATATTTGACAAAGAAGCCTGAATTTATTTTATTTTTTTGGGTAAACGAAGCCTGATTCTTTTAAAATAAGATTTAACTTGACCTATTACATTTTCTACCAGTACTTTTCACTACTACTGGAAAAAAAAACCAAGGTGTAGCTCAGTTGGGGAAATTTTAATATATTCCAGGCCCACCATTTATTCAACGGTCCCTTTCTATAAATGGAAAATTTTCTTTCATTTCTACTCTTTTCTTTTTGAACTTTTCCCCCTCCGTCCCTCTTTTTTTTTTTTCATTTTGGGAAGGGACCACCATGGTCCCGGCCATGATAGTCAAAATCTGGATTTAAATCTTAAAATCCCGATTTTAACTAATAGAGATGAACACGGAAGAGAAAGGGAGAGAGAGAGAGAGAGAGAGAGAAGTCATTGATATGATTCTGATGTAAAATGTATATTGAATTATGAACTGATACAGAGAGAGATCTATTTATAGATCAGGTGTTGCTGACTCAGCAACTAACCAATCCTAACAATCTGTAACAAACTCTAACAGAACCAAACTCTAACATAATGAGTAATAATCAGGTGTGTGACACACCATAGGGACAATACTACAGCAGACTAATACAAAGCCTTAGTTGCTTATATGCTAATATGCCCCCTCAAACGCAGGAGTGATGGAGTTGAAAAACATCCAGAACTCTGAGTTTGGATCTTAAGTCAGCAAACTTGGGAGCAGAAAGAGGCTTGGTGAGTGTGTCAGCTAACTGATCAGTGGCTGGAATGTGAGAAACAATAAGATCCTTAGATAAGACTCGTTCACGAACAAAGAAAATGTCCAACTCCATGTGCTTGGTTCTAGCATGTAAAACCAGGTTATGGGATAGTGCAACAGTGCTGAGATTATCACAATAGACTTGTGGAGTGGCCAAGGGAACATGAAGCTCACGAAGAAGGGACTGAATCCACAAAATTTCAGCTGAAGCAATGGCCAAACTTCTGTATTCTGCCTCGGTACTAGACCTGGCCACCAAGGATTGTTTCTTGGACCACCAAGAGACCAAGTTAGGACTAAGGAAGATGCATGCACCTGATGTAGACCTGCGGTCATCAGGGTCACCAGCCCAGTCAGCGTCACAAAAGGCTGTGAGAGGCAAAATGGAATGTGCAGAGGCTGGCTGAAGCAAGAGACCATAAGAGACAGTCCCTTTAAGGTATCTGAGTATACGTTTGACAGCAAGCCAGTGATCAACTAAAGGTTCTGCCATGAACTTGCACACTTTATTGACAGCAAAACTGATCTCAGGTCTTGTTATAGTAGCATACTGCAATGCACCAACAATAAAGCAATAGTGATGAGGATTATCAAAGTAATTGGAGCCATGCCTTGTCAATTTGCAACTAGCAGCCATAGGAGAAGCAATGCTTTTTGCATCTGACATATTAGCCCGAGCCAACAGATCTCTGATGTATTTAGATTGGGAAAGAGAGATAGCACCAGTAGAATGTTTCTTGACTTCTATACCCAAAAAATACTCCAAAACTCCAAGATCTTTGAGAGCAAACTTAGAATTCAAGGCACGGATCAGTTGTTGAATAAAGTGAGGATCATTCCCAGTCACAATAATGTCATCTACATATACCAACACATATATAGATCTGTGAGCATCACGAAGAATAAAGAGAGAGGGGTCACAGTTGCTGGATCTAAAGCCAAAGTCTGAGAGAGCTTGTTTGAGCTTATCAAACCAAGCTCTAGGAGCTTGTTTAAGGCCATACAAGGCCTTATTGAGCTTACAAACCAGAGTTTTATTATTAACCTCAAAACCTGGTGGCTGTATCATGTAAACATCTTCAGTGAGGTCTCCATTGAGAAAGGCGTTATTCACATCTAATTGCCTTAATGTCCAGCCAAAAGAGAGAGCCAGAGTAAGCATAATCCTTACTGTTACTGGCCTGACAACAGGAGAAAAGGTTTCTGAGTAATCAAAACCTTCTTGTTGATGAAACCCCTTAGCAACTAGGCGAGCTTTATACTTATTGACTGTCCCATCTGGATTCTCCTTGATTTTAAACACCCATTTGCAGCCTATAGCCTTCCTGTTAGAAGGAAGAGAAACAAGAGTCCAAGTATGATTAGATTGTAAAGCTTTATATTCTGCCTTCATAGCATCCAGCCACTGTTGGCTGGCCAAGGCTTGTTTAACAGTTACAGGTTCCATATGAGTGAGGAGAGCAAGAGATCTGGCTAGGCTTTTGGACCTTGTAGTGATAGAGTGAGGGGAAGAGGAAGGACTCACTGTTTGTGATGGCTGATATTCAGAAGAGGAGGAAGGTGAGGAGGAAGAAATTGGTGACAAGAGAATTGGGGAACAAGACTGACCAGAATTGGAGGAGTTATCTTGAGGAGGTGAGACAGAAGTAGGGGACAGAATTGGTACAGAAGATGACAGAACTGGAGATTGTGACACAGCAGGAGATTGTGACAAAGCAGGTGGAAGAGTAGGAGAGTCAATAGCTGGTTCAGCAAGACTGTGAACAGAATGAGTGTTGTGATCAGATTGTGTTGCATTAGTAGGAAAAGAGGTGAATGGTTGGTGAACATTAAAACTGGGAAGAACAGTAAGAGGAATAGAAGCAGGAACTATAGATGCATTAGGGAAGCCAGGCTTAATATTCCATAGAGGAAATGGAAACCTATGTTCATTAAATAAAACATCCCTTGAAATAAAGACACGGCCATCTGGATTTTGACACAAGTAACCCTTATGATTGGGAGCATAGCCAAGAAAGATACACTCTTGAGATCTAAATTCCAGCTTATGCTTATTGTATGGTCTGAGAAAGGGAAAGCAAGCACAACCAAAATTTTTGAGAAATTTGTAATCAGGTATAACATGAAACAACTTTGTATAGGGAGTTTGAAAATCCAGTACTGCTGTAGGTAACCTATTAATAAGATATACGCAGAAATAAATGCATAATCCCAATACTTCATTGGTAGAGAGGCAGAAGAGAGCATAGTGAGACCAGTTTCAACAATATGCCTATGCTTTCTCTCTACCACTCCATTCTGATGATGGGTGTGAGGGCATGCTATTCTATGGTTGATTCCATGAAGAAGAAGAAACTGGGTAAAGGATCGAAACTCACCTCCCCAATCGGTTTGGATGGACTTGATAGAGACATTGAATTGTGTTTGTACTAGAGAGTGAAAATTTTTGAAAGTTTGAAGTGCATCTGACTTCTGTTTCAAAGGATAAATCCATGTAAATCTAGTATTTGCATCAACAAAGGAAATATAGTACAAGTGTCCCATCATGGATTTTATAGGAGCAGGTCCCCATAGGTCACTGTATATCAATTCAAAGGGAGTATTGTAAACAATATGTGAGGGGGAAGAGGGCAAACGATGGGCCTTACCAATGCAACAATCTGAACAAAACATCTCAACAACTTTATTATTCACATGTATATTACAAGCTTGAAGAACAGATTTAAGAATTTCTTTATGTGGATGTCCTAAACGACAATGCCACATTGAGTAAACAGAAGTTCCTAGCTCAGAAGACTGAGTAGCAGTCACTAGATTATTACTATTACAAACTGAAGATACTGATGAAGAAACAGTATTACAAACAGGAGATATCAAGTTTGAAGATTGCTGAAAAGGAGTACATGAGACACTTTGTGGAGCATGAGTTGGTGTTTGATGAAGATTGATGCCGTTGAATTTATAAAGACCACTAGAGTCAAGAATACCTTCAAGCAAGACTTTGTGTGTCCCCTGTGATTTAACAAGACAAAAGGAAGGGTGAAACTCAAAGTACACAGAATTATCTTTGGCAAATTGACTGACACTCACAAGATTTTTCATAATGGAAGGAACAAGAAGGAGATTTGTAAAACGCAAGTGTGTGTGTGTGTGTCAAAGGGAGAAGAAAAATTGGAGGAACCAATAGCTGTGACAGCCAAACCTTGGCCATTGCCTATCAGTATTTGGTCTGCACCACTCAATTGCTGACTCTGCATCAGATTCTGAGGATTGGAGGTGACATGATGTGTTGCACCAGAATCAGGATACCACTCCAAGGCAGGTGCAGGTGTGGGCAGAATTCCAGGTTGAGCAGTAATCAAAGCTTGTGGTTGCACACTCTGAGGACGAACATATTGGAAGGAATGACGCTGTTGAGGTATCTGATTTGTCTGAACCTGAGCAAACATCTGAGGAAAAAATTGAGAATGAGAGGTGATGTTGGGTGGTGGAAGAGTGGGAACAAAGTGTTCATCAAATCTATGCCAACAAGTTTGAACATCATGTCCAAACTTATAGCAAAGTTGGCAACAAACATTAGATCTTCCTCCACTTGCTC